TATATATATATTTCAGACAGCGTAGATTAAAAGACTGCAACGGACCTGCTATGTCCATCGCGGTACCGCAACAGACATAGTTGGTCCGTGGCGGTAAAAAAACACGCGGAAACCGCTATGAACCATGTGCCGTCCATTGCAGCTCCGTTCAATAAACCGCCACGGATGTAGCATGTCTGTGGCGCGGCGAAATACTGTTCAAAATCGCCTATAGGCGTTTTTAAGAGTTTATCATCTATATATATATATATATACACACACATACACACACACTTGGTTTTTCATTGTTCATTTTAATAGTTCGAAAATAATCTATTTTTAAAGCTTTAGTTTCTACTTTTTTTCAGATTCATAATTGTGGTTGCAAGATTATTGCGTGTGAAATTTTTATACAATATCCGTCTCTAAGATGGACTTTTGGCAGGGACGCATATGAACATAAAACATTAAGAGAGTGTGTGCTTTTATCACATGGTTCTCATGATGCCTTGATGGTGCTAGTGATCAAGTATGAATCAAATAAACAATGAATGGTCTTTACACCATTTTGGCATTCAAAAATGTTGGACATGGCTTGGTCACTGAATTGCTTGAACCTCTTCAGCATTACTTGTTCTTTGTTTACAACATTGATATATGTTGATTCTGTGTTCATGGGTTCAGGGACTTCGCCCAACAATTCCTAAGCACACTCATCCAAAGATTGCAGAGCTTCTGGAGAGATGTTGGCAGCAAGATCCGACACTGAGACCTGATTTCTCCGAAATTACAGAAATCTTGCAAGTTATTGCCAAAGAGGTAATATCGGTGAGACTGTAAACCCTCGTGTATTAGTTAATCCTATTGGCAATATCTAAAGCATCCATTTAACTTGCCATCCGATTTGATATGACCTTTATTTTATTTTATTTTGTCTTTTGGGGGTTGAGAGAGAGAGGGTGTGTTATTATTGATCCATAGTGGCCCCTTATGAGTCATTTGAACAGGTTGGAGATGAGGGGGAGGAGCGGCGAAAGGAAAAGTCGGGCGGTTTCCTTTCGGTCTTAAGACGCACTGCAGGGGCCCACTAAATACAGCGACCTTGTTCATGATATATGGGTCTTTAACAAATGTTTATTTTCAAATTAGTGTTTTTTTCACTGGGTACTGTACAGTATTCTTTCACTGATCATGGTCTTTTACAATTTTGAGGTTTCATTTGTTTCTTTTCTGTGTCTTTGATTAATGCATCTCATTATCATGTCGTGTCTTCAATGAAGTCAATTTTAAGTTCTTGTGAAATATGTCAAATTCCTTCCGTGTTCTTATGGGGGAAAACAAAACGAAAAACTGTAAAAAAAAAAATAGTGGGAAAGAGAGTTCGAGTCTCAATTTCTAAATGAAGCTTGGGTTTAGCTCAGGAAAAAATA